TTCTTAAGAGCGGAGCTGAGGAGGGCCTGTGTGGGGAGGAATTAATGTTTGCTGAGTTCCTAAATAAATTTGAGCCCAGCTTCAGAGACTGAAAGCCTGGTGGCTTCTCCCAGTTCCCTCCCTAACAAAGGGCTGGACCCAAGTGCACTGAAGTCAAAGAGAGAGACTGTCATTGACATCAAAGGGTGTTGCATCAGACTCAATGAAGGACAGTCTCAGCCAGGGACCAGCAGAAATAATAGCATGTGATGTACGTGACCAACTGCCACTAACCAACCGCTTAGATTCCAGGCATTAAGTGCTGCAAAGAGCAAACTTGCAAACAATTCATGAAAATGTGCCAAAAAAAATCAAAGAAAAATGTGTAAGGAAACTGCAATGTGTTTGTGGGTATTCTGTGAGCAGAAAAATATGTTGTATTTGTGGAATAAATTAGGCCCTGAGAAGTGTTCTCTCAGCTCGGAGTTGTGGGCAGTCAAGTCAGCTAATCGAGCTAAAGTTTCTTTCCTCTTGCCAAAGGAAGCAGGTAGGTACAGAGACATGGATGAAATGAGTTTGATTTTATTTTTAAAGTGTGAGTTGCCAATTGTATCTCATTTCAATAGTTCTCATCCTTTGGATGATCGCTTTTGCTGCCATCTAGATGCTTTGGTTTATTCTCTCATGAATGCTGACAAGCTTTGGTCTGGTGTTTATCCATATCAGACACTGCAAAGCTCATCCAGCCTCTTATCTCCTTCTGATGAGATTATCGTAATGCCCTGCCATGAGGTTTGCCAGGCTGCTTCTTCTGTCAGGGAATGCCACCACTGTGAGAGCATCACGCACAGGACAAAATCCAGTGCATTTTATTCTGACCATATCATGCCTTTCACTGGCTATAAACAAAAAGGATTAATTAAAAATGGGAATATCTGCAGCTGGGACCCAGATCAATTAGGAAATGAGGTAACACCAAGAGCAGGTATCATCTCTCTAATATGATGAGCAATAGCTGTGTAAACGCAGCATGGTAAAGGTAGGAGGGTCAGGCTCAAAGCCTTGACTCACATTTGGTCCTCTCTAGACAAACATGTTAGGGCTGCCTGGGGACTGCTCTGTGCCTCATTTATGGGCTCTCTCAGGAAATCAAAAGCACCCATTTAACTCTTTCCTGAGAGGATTTGCACTTGGTGACAAGGAACAGGGAGGAGGTGGGACTGTCCATGCCTACAACATAGGATGGTGCTTCTGATGGTGGTTAAAAAGAGTCTGTCAGGAGCCTGTGAGGTACCTATGGTTATTCACACACAGGCAGCCCACACCTCCAATAAGCAATGCAGGATCAGAGACAAAGGAACAAAGCAGTTTTGAGGCATAAACAAGCCATTTCTGGAGAAAGCCACAGAGGATTTTCAGGTAAGGGATCAGACCCTTAGAGACAGGGAGCATTGAGAAAGACAGGACTCTAGGATAAACTTCTTGTTTGCATGTGCATGCTGACAGCCACCGCAGCTGCTTAGTTGCAGGCTTGGGTATGAAGGTTACAGATGTATTCATTAAAAACTGGGGTTTAGTTTGGCTTCTAAGGTAGGATAGCAACAAGAGCCACACAGCTCCAGGGACTGTCCCACTGCTGACCGAGCTGCTGAAAGCTCCAGCTCTCCTTACAGACAGTGGTTATAAATCAGATGGTTATAAATCAGGTGGTCATAAATGCTCTCAGATGCCAACCAATTCTCAATCCCAACAAGCAAGTGCTGCTTTCTATCCAAACATCGCAAAGCACTCTACAAACCTTCACAGACACACTCTCGTAAAGACTATTTTATGTCCAGACACTGAAACAGGCTGGATGACTTCTTCAAGGTCACACAGGAAACCAGCATGGCAGAGGCTGCAGGTTGCTTCAATCCCCAAAGGTAGCACATCTCCTTGCTTCCCCAGACAGTCTCTGTCATTGAGCATCAGTCTTTGTCTTTCAGCTGTTTAATGGACTGCTGCTGCTCTCTGCATGATCAAAATCCTGTTTGATATGGTTCTCTTGCTACTGCTCTTACCTTTGACCAGACCGGTGGGTTCTTTTAAAGTGTGTTCAGCCCTTGGTTTTGCTTTAAGTTCTGTGGGTGTCTTTTGTGCAGCAGATGCTGCTCAAAATTAATTGTTTGCTTTGAAAACACACTCTCATCTAGTGATTTTCAGGTACATCAGTTGTTCCATTAGGGCTCTCACTTCCTACATGCTTCTTGTGAGCACCACATTTTACTTCTCTCACAGCCAATGTTTCTTCACTCTGGTCCCCATCACACAAACTCTTTTCTCATTGCCAAACCAATACCTCACCCTTTTTGTCTGTCACAGACAAAAGGCTACTGAGTGTGGCTCTGAGGCTCATTAAAGTTCACAGCATCACTTGTTTAAATGTGTTTTTTTTTTAATTTACCGCATCAAATGTGCTTAGTGTGCAGTGTTGGCTTGTTGCAATGGTGGGTGTCTGCAAGCTCTGCCATGCTTCTGCTGGTGGCAGGCAGGAAAGTGCTTGGAGAGCCCTTTGGAAGAAAATGGCTTGGCCTGGTGGCAGTGATGGGGATTTTCACATCTCTGCCAAGCCTGGGGATGGTCTCTGCACTGCAAGGCAAGCACCCCTTCTCCACCTCTCTGGAGATGCAGCAGAGAAATGGGAAGAGAGCAGGCCAGTCTGGACTGTGACCCCACTGAGGACCTTTCTACCCAAGGCAGAACTGCTGCAATAAGCACTTGGTCTGAGTACTTGGCTTGGCACCATTACAGGAGTGGATTTACTGCTAGGGATTAAGTGGGCCTTTGCCATTCCTCTCCATTAACACCATCCAGCACATGGGTGGTGTCACAAGATGACACAGGAAGCTCTGCAACTGCCCCCTTTGCAGCAGTATCCAGCTTTGGCATCCTGCTTGTGTACATCTCCAGAGCCACACTGGCCACTCAGTAGTGGATTTAAGCTCTTTGGTCCAGTCTGAAAATGGTGTAAACAGATAGAAAAAATACATACCTACAGAATCAGTGTCATAGAATGGTTTGTGTTGGAAACGACCTTAAAGCTCATCCCATTCCAACCCCCCTGCCATGGGCAGGGACAGCTTCCACTAGACCAGGTTGCTCGAAGCCACATCCAACCTGGCCTTGAACACTGCCAGGAATATTGTCTCAGAGCATCTCTATACATGACAGAGGTTGGGCGAGTCTGCCCTGCAAGGACTGTATTGTGAATCATGGTCTCCCACTTTTCAGCTAATGCACTGTATGATGTCGTCTCAACTTCCCTCCCTCATACCCTGAACTTTCAGTGCAGCAGAAAATGCTTTTGGTCTTGCACTGGCAACAAATCTGCCTTGTACTCTTGCTTCCAGCTCCTGGGAGCTATCCAAGTTATTCTTCAAAAAAGCATGTCATAATACATTTGGTGGTCTCCAAGTCTTGGCTTTGCTTTGCTCTGTGGTTTGCACTACAAGGAAGCCAAAAGCAGAGGGGAAAGGTGGGATATTTCTAGTAATTATGCAACTTAAAATCAGACCTAAAAGGTAAAGAATAACACACATAAGAATGGCATAAACTAGTGTCTCTATCCCTTTATTTCCTTGCACTGTTCCAGAGCAATTTGGCTTCTTGTGTCCTGAGCTTATGCATGTACCTAACATTGCCTGACTGAATTCTCCCTTGGCTTCTGTGTTCTTGTAGCATATCAGCATGCTGGTTCCTTCTGAGTCCTTTTGCCTCTATTTACAGAGAAATACAAAACAACAGTTTTTCCCTTGTGCCTTCATGGTGCAAAGGAAATGCTGCTTCCCACTTCTCCTTGGAATCCATCAAAGTGACTTCCAATGATGAGCAGACCTTTTACTGATGATAATTTGTACTCAGGTAGCTCTTAGCATTTGTGTCCTCAAAGCCTGAGAAAGAGTCCATCTCCCAGGACACCAAACCAGTGCACCTGGAACAGGATGGTGGGAGTTAGCTCTGGAGGTGAGCAGGACTTGTCTGGGGTTTCTCATTCCATTTTTCAGGCATTTGGTTGGGTTTTGTTTAGGTGTTTGTTTACTATTCACCTGCTCTTTCTGATCCACTTTTCACCTTTAAAAGCTCTGCTGTACTTCTCATGGTCATTACTCTGAGAGTTGTTTCTACCTTGTTAGCTTCTGTCCCTGGCTGAGGTGTCTTCCAGGTATATCCCTGAGGCTTTCTTTTGCCTTTATCAAGGTTAAAGATGGGCAGAAAGCTCTGTGTTTAATGGTTTCAAGGAGCTGACACGCAATTACCTAGTTGAAAATGAAGTGTTCTTGATTTTCCTTTTCTGAGAGAGGGTATCTGCCATCTTCAGTCACTGCCCACTGCCAAAGGTAGATTACCTAGTTCTTCGGTGCCTTTGCCATTTTCTTCCTGCCTTTGCTTTGCTCTGCTTTGCTTTACCTGAGGGAAAAGGGCCGTTAGCTTTGTAAGATCTCAAACAAGACAGGTCTCACTTGCTGGGAGCAAGCTATTAAAAGCTATTTGGTGAGCAAAGTTCCAGGCCTTTGCTTAAATGCAGCTCATGCAGGTGGGCTCCCTCAACAGTGCTGGCATCTTTGACTTATCGTGGAATCATGAAAAAAGGAGAAGTCATTCAGTTCCAGTCACAAAGAGCAGCAAATATTGCAAGTCAGAGCCCCCTAATGCTGTTGTGGAGTGCAGATAGCTCCTCCGCCCCAACCAACTCTTCTCAAGCTGTCATCTGTGCAGGTGAGCTTGCAACTGAGGGGTCTGTGACCCTACTCAGCAGCAGCAACTTTAGATGGCTGTAACTGTGATGACTAGGAATGACTTCCTGGTTTCTAGCTCTGCAAATGGAGAATCTGGTCTACAGAATGTGTGGGAGCTGCTGCCCCCCCCCCCCCCTTTTTTTTGACAGAAACCTCCCTCAGAATAAATTGGTTTGGGTTCTGGGAAGGGTTTTTGTAGGCTTTTATTAAATCCAGAGGCTTTTGGAATTTTTTTTGTCATTACAGGCCACAAAGTTGCATTTTCTTCACATTACTGCATCAAGTAAGAAATCTAAAGGCAGCAACTACTATGCAAACACTGCAGCTAATGGCACACATGCAAACAAGCTCTTTCTGGTGAAAGGTGACCACTGGGAAAAGAGAGGAAGAAAAAAACTAAAATGAATGAAATAATGCCAGCAAAAAATCAAAATCTGAGAAGAAGAGCTCCTTCCTTTTTGTTAGGTTTTGGTGCTAAGTTTCTCCTTGTTATGTGCTAAGGTAACCACACCATATAAAGCATATTCATTGTACACATAGTATGTATGTATATAAAGTATGTATCATTGAATTTTGCATGCATTTATTCTAGTAACATTCCTATTTCATGGTTTAACAGTGTTGTGGTAGGAAGCTGGGTTTAATGAGGCTAAGGCTCAAACTTACTCAGGTGACATGAGAAGTCAGAGAGGATGGGTTTCCTGTGCCCTAGGCTAGTTTAATTTCCCTGCTCTCTGTTGCAGATCTGGGAGATCTCGAGCCCTGTGCAAGCACCTAGTGCCTTTGGAGGAGAGGCCAGATGGACAAATAGCAAGTAGGCACTTGCAAGTGTCAGGTGCAGTCTCAGGCTCTGCCACAGGCTTGCCTTGAGTCTTTGGACAAACCTCTTCACTTTCTAGTTTAGTATTTTTCATCTGCTGAAACACGTAAAGCAGCTTACCTGTTTTATTGGAGTGGGGAAACTTGATCAGCTCCTATTTTAAGGGGAACTTGGAACAGTTGATGCTTAACTTTGTTAAAAAGCTATCAAAGACGAACAATTGCTGTAGCCAGCTGCTTGTATTATTATTGATTTGATTTTGCATTTCTAGAGTAATTTATTCTAGAAGGTCTTGGAATTGAAACAACAAACCTTTATGTGGCTCTGTCCCAGGAGATGATAGGCCAGAGATCCTGTATCTGGCTGCACAATACATTTATGTGTATAGATCGCACAGTATTACCTCTCCTTGTACCCTTGCCTGGCTCACATCTCTAGATCATCAGTGTTACAACTGAATAGCTGATGTTATTGCCATTGTGTAGAGCCGATTGCCTGCCATCATCCTGTCAGGCACTTATACCTAGTTCTCCTAATGTAATTTATATTAAGCCAATTTATATTACACAGTGAGTGCCTGGTGGAGAAGGTACCCACAGGAGGCTTGTGTGCTGTTTTCCCTCACTGGTATTTAGATGATCTTCTGACAGGTATTACTTCTCCCCATAGGCGTTGCCTCATTTACATCCCTAGACCATCAAACCTGCAAGAACACAGTTGCTTCAAGAACACCCCCTGTTTTTCAAGAATTACTTTGCTGCCCTCTCTGTGGGATATAGGATAAGCATCTATCACCCAGCCCTCCAGAAGCCCCAAGCAGTGCATTTTAATTTTATTTGGTCTCAGAGCAGTCCTGTCCAGGTATGTTTGCATTTTGGTTCTGGCTGTGTTTGCTTCTCTTTCTCTGTTTAGGTTTTCTCCAGGAAACACGCAATTTGCTCACCTTCTGGAGGTGCCATTCTTTTCACCATCTTCCAGTAACAGACCCAATTCTAATTGGGATTTTTGCCTATGTGAGTTAGTTGACCTTTACATCAGAGGAGTTACACTGGTGGAAAACTAAGCTGACAACAGCTCTTCCAAATCCTGTTAAATTTCTGTTGCTGGAATTCAGCTTTTTCACTTATTTTTGATATATATTTTCATCTTTTAGATCCATATAGTGCTGTGCTAGCTGGGTGCTTTGGGAGCATTAGGAAATGGTCTAGCACACAACCCAAAAATAGATATAAGCCATTTCCAGTCATCTGAAGGGGTTGGGAAGAAATAGGTATCACGGCCATTACATTTACCTGAGAGAGAAACAAGGGTAGATGTTAATATCTGGTGCCTAATATGGAAAGGCAAAGGAAGTATTAATCCCCTCTTTCTCCTTTGTCCCCCATTAAATCTATGCCAGGCTATGATATAAACTTGCATTCACAGACACATTTCTGCCAGGTGAACCTACAAAATCCTTTATAGAGCAAATGTGATGAATCACTGTTCCCTCGTTGCTGTTGTTCCTCGTGCTGAACACGTTCCTCTTCTTCTGCTTTGTCCCTCTGCAGAGGGGTCAGTTAAGGTGCCTACTGAAAGGCACTGCCCATCAAACTGGGTGTAGAGTTTGATGGCCAAAGACATCTGGACGTGACATCCTCATGTGCTGCAGGCTGCAGCGTGGGTCAGCCAGCCCAGGGAGAGGGTTCAGCCATTTATTTTTCTTTTGACCTATTTTCTGAGTGACATTTTATGCTTCCCCTTATTGTTCTTTACCAAGTCAGCACCATGACAGCCTCGGGGCAATGTGCTTTCAATATCCCAAGGGCCAGCACAAGCCCACCGGTGCTGGACACCCTGCCAGATCCCACTGCACTTCACTGATTTCAATAGCCATCAGATTAAATCCTCCTGTTTGCAAATCCTCTTTCCAGAAGGCAGCCTGCACTGCACAGCAGGGGTAAAGAATACCCTGCAAAGTCCAGGCCAGCGCTTAAGCTGAAAATGTACCCTTCATTTTTTTCAGTGGCTTTGATTTTTAGCTCTGTAGAATTTTCCAGGCTTTGGCTCCCAACCTTTCCTAAAGCAATTATGTGACTTTGAAAAAAAAGACAATTCATTTTTTTGCCACTTCTCCAGCTCTGCCAGCTGTTCATGACTTTATAGAGAATCTTGCACTATTTGGTGTCTTGCCTAAAGTTCCATGCGATTAATCAAAGCAGCTCAGCCTTCACTGAAAAATAAATCCCCAGCTCCATCCCTGAGCCCAAAGCTTCAAGCTGGCCACAACATGCACAGGATGCCCTGTCTGCACCTCTCACCAGCTCCAGCCCTGCAAAGTGTAGCCCACCAACATGACCCAAGCCATGGACATGGCCTGACCGGTAGTACTAAGCAACAATTTTCATTGCAGCTGTCTGCAGGGCTCCTGTGAATTAACACAATGCAACATTTACCAGCACAATGTGACATTTACTGGAGGGGCAGTGGGGTGCTAGTCGTCCCCCCTCCACGCATGTTAGCTCCAGCTGGCATGGCACGTGCTCCCGTATCACAAAACATGGTCTTGTAGCTGTGCATCCCCCCATTCAGATCAGGGCCATCGCTGGAATAACAAATAAATAAATAAATGAAAAGTTCAGGAAAGGAAAGATTAAGCTTTTCAAAAGGAAGTAAATTATTGAATGGAAGTATTTCAAGGAAATGATTTTATCGCTCTGAAATTTTATCCGTCCTTTATAAAACAAACAACCTGGGTAACTACTTTTTCAGGCTACGTTTTGCTGGCAGTTTTTATCTGCAGAAAGGATTAGCTTATCCGTGGATGGAACGTGCTGCACACACCCTGTTCCCATGCAGATTCATGCAGCCGGGAGCTGTGTTTCCAGCTCAGCTCTAGGCCATTTTTCTGTAGCTAACTCGGATGACTGCAAAGACCATTAGAACATTTTATAGTTGGAATTTGCAGGAACATACTGTACCCAGAAGGAAAATGATCATTGATAGGGGAAGTGCAAGATCTGTGATCCCTGTAATTATGCAGATGATCCTCTCCAGAGGTCTGTGGTATGTGAGCGGGTCACAATGATGGCTTTCGGCTGCAGCGCTTTAATAGTCCACTGAAATCCAGCTGTTCCTGCTCTCAAATCTACTTGGCTGCAGCCCTGACTGGCACATCAGCATGAGTAGTTTTGTTTCTCACAGTGGACATGCACAACATCCAAAAGACACTGAAGTGATGCTTTCTTAGGGCATTTGTTGTTGCCCTGTTGAGACCCAGCAGAAGTTTGTACCTTGCGGCTCACTGGTGGTAGAGACATCAGGCACGTGGAGATGACTGATTTTTGGAGGGAGATGCCACCATCACCAGCACAGATTGGCAGCATGCAAGGCAGTCGCTTCCTCCAAAAATCTCCAGTCAAAACCTGGCCTAAGGAAGGACCCCTTGACATAGATACCTAGGTATAAAGAAAACCGTCTCTTCTCATAGTAATGTTTCTGCTCAACATGCAACCTGGTGCAAGAGTTGCACATTTCCCAGCATGAAACCAAACTCATTCATGCACTAAGACCTTGGAAGGCTCCACACAAGAAAATCACCCGGTGGTATTTACGTTACAATCTCCTGAAGGGCACTGCAGAAATCAAAAGAATTGGGAACAGAAAGAGGTTCTCCTCAAGGGTTTGAGAGCTGCAGCACTGATTGGCAAAACAGATGGTGCAAAAATGTCTAAGCTTTACTGCTGGTTCTCTGCCTTGCCAGGTGACATCCATCCTCCTCCTATAAATACTCTATGCCCATAAAACCGTGTCCTCACAGGAGAAGCCAAACCATCCTAAGGTTAGAGGGCTGCAAACTTCTAGTGACACCAGGGTGGCTTTCTGTGGGGAATATGATCCCTGTTGATCTTGTGGAAACTATAGCTGTTCCTAACTCTGGTGGTTTATCACAGAGCTGAAAGAAACATCCAGCTGGGTGATGCTTCTGCGTTCAGTAAATGATCCTGCCATTCCCCACGCCTCCCAGATCAGGACCTGGCTGTGCTGTACCCATCTGCAGCAAGATACAGCTCCTTCCCTGTAAAACTTACTCCTCTGGTAGGCAGGACAGGTTGGGAATAAGGAAATGTTGTTCCAGTGTTCCTGATAAGGACCCAGAGGAAGCGTAGAAAAAAGTGCTTTTTGCACAAAGCTGTAAAGGACAACTGTTTCAAATCTGGGAAACCAGCCTGAATCTCTTGACTCTTAGTGCTCTCTCCCTTTTGGCAGTAACCTAACGCAATTCTCTGGTGTCAGGGAGCTGGGACCGCCTATCTCCAGGGCAGAAGATGCAGCCAGGCTGACGCAGAAGGAAACTTTGGTGGCTCCTTCTTGGAATTGCTCATCAGGCTTTTTTCATATGACTTAATGCAGCTGGCTGCAGCATGGAAGTGCCAATGACCACAGGCCTGCGGTTTTGTTAGGGAAAATAGCCTGGACTTTAGCCTTTGATAATATTTTTACCCCAAAAGCTGTGCACCCAAAACCTGCATTATTCCCAGTGCAGGTTGTCTGGGCCTGGTGTGAATTCATGTGTGCAGCTCACTCCACAAGAAAGGCTGTAGGAGGTGAAAATGAGAATTTCAACAGCCAGGCACAGAGAAGGGGTGGCACATCAAGTACTATTTGCTTACTGTCAGGTAGCATTAACAGGAGACAGAAAGTAGAGGACAGAGTCCTTCTGCAGTGCCTAGTCCCAGAATAAAAACTAGATAGATCCTTTCCCAGATGCCGTTATAAAATTGCAACAGGCAGCTTCAAGTCAGGAATGGAGGCTGTTGTGCAAAAGCATGGTTGGAAGACAAATTGCTAAAGGGCTAGGTGAATGTGCGGGCCAGAAACCAGGATTTATAGGCAGGACACAGCCTCTGTGTGTGTTTTATCTTCCCACAGTCCATTTATTCAGGGAAAGGCTTAGCTGAGCTAAACCTGGTGTTGGAAGCCTACGGGATAAAGAGCTGCCCATTCAGGAGTGCCCCAGAGAGATGTAATCCTATGGAAATGCATTTAGTGGGGATGAAACCTTTTCTGGTATCTGGGGGAGGGTGGGGTGGGTCTGGAAAGAAACCACAGGCAAACCACAAAGCAGAGGAAGCTGCAATGGCACAAGGAAGCCTGAGTGAATCGGTGGCACCAAGTTTCACTGCTCAACAGCAAAAGTGTGGGGCTGGGAAGAGGAATGGGGTAGTGCCTGAGGGA